GCTACTAGGGCCTCCTGGCCCTACTGCTAGGAACAAGTAGCTACTAGGAACAATGGAGTTCTCCATTCTTTCCACGGCCACGCCACCGACGCCGTGCCGACGACGTGAGGAGCCCCGAGCGGGCCTTGCGCCGGAGCGATCGCCTCTTGCGGCCAGTGGCGAGGGGTGCCCAGTTTGGTAAAGGGAGTTGAGAGACAATTACTATTTTAGTATTTAAACCATATATATATACCCAGAACTTCCAACGTCGAAGTTTAACTTAGCCAATGAGAAACGTCGAAGTTAAACTTGTACACCTCAGTGCGTCTAAGTTTTACTCATGTTAGTTGTCTTAAACAGAACAAACTCCGCAGAACGACGAAGTTTAACCTGGTTAAACATAGACAGAAACAACGTCGAAGTTAAACTTAGCCTTTGAAGATTAGGGTATATATATTTATTGTAATTATCCTTTCAAACCTCACCAAGGTTCATACATGTTTGACATGTTTGCACCTTCTATCCAGGGTATCATGGTGTGAGAGGCCCCTTCATTATGGGCTCTAGCGGATTTCCTTTGTGTGGTTAGCAACATCAGGTGCAAGGAACCGTCTCCTACAGAACTGCGCGTGTTGGGTCCTCCGGTCTTCGTAGGTTTCGGGTTACTGTCTAGTCAAAAAGCCTGTGGATCTATGGACTTTTTGGATCTTTGAGGCAAGACCTCACTATTCCTGACCCAAATCTGAAGCCCTTTCAGTTCGCGAGTTTTTGTTTCCGTCGCGGCCAATCCCTCCCGCCAGGCGGAGGTGATCCAAGCCTTGGCCGCCGTCAAAGGCCGGAAAGCTCGTCCTTCCGGTCCGTAAACCTATGGCCTTCTCAAGGCGTTCACAGGACCATGCATGGTCCTGCTGTCCTGACACGGGTCAATATGGTCAATTCATGTCAATGAATTTCTTTGCGTCAAAGAGTTTTGCTTTCATGTGTGGGAACGTATGAAAGGGCCTCATCAACTCTGGCAGAAAACCGGCGAAGATGGTGAGTCGTGATGATTTGTGTGACTTTTTGGATAAGACTTCATGGAGTCCCAACTCATTAGGTTTCGGTTTCAGAGTTTCTTGCTTGTGAGACTCACCATGGTGGCAGAGAGTCGAAGATTTCAATTCAGAAACAGTTCACTGCAGCAAACCCTTGCTGGAAGCTGAATTTGAGGTCTGAGAAGCAGCTGATAAGCTAGGGCCTTTGGTATGTGAACTCCTAGCGCAGCCGCACCCTCTCCAGACCTGGAGCCAGCCTCCAGTGGTCTGCCGAGCTTCCAGCAACGATGGCAAGCGTTCCAGGAGCGACCGGGAGGGGCAGGGAACGAGGGAAACCGAGAATTGGTTTGGACCATTCCACATGTCAATCTGGTTGTGCTCACCATCCTTGCTGGACTGGGAGCATGGTGTTTTCTCATGTTTTCTCTAACAGTGTGGTTGGACCCTCTGCTGGTGCTGCCCGTCACCCTGACGATCCCAAGCTCGTTGAGACCATCAGTCCCGTGATCCCTGGCATTCCCACTTCTGCTGCCGTCAACACTGAGGAGCACGTGCATGGTCTGGTAGATGGATCTGGACTTGCTCCAACCGCGGCCCCGGGCGCGGCGAGCGGTCAAGGCGCTGTGAGGGTGCTTCAGTGAAGATTTTGGTCTCTCCAAATGAGTTGACCTCAAGTTCCACCATGCTTAACAGGGAAGGAGTAGTGAGTAGTCTACAGGTTTCAGGTGCCTTTGTTGAATAGAACCAGTGGATGCCTTTGGAAAGGTAGCTGATAGCGACGATGTCCGGAGGTGCACAGGTTGATTTGCACAGGTGTCAGGGCCCTGACTTGGGCGAGGGATGTGATCCACACATGGTCAGATCGTGCCTCCACCGTTCCATCGGGAAGTGATGCGAGCGATTGCAAAGGATTTCAATATATTTCAATCCCAGTCTGCATTGGTGTTGGGTTATATAGTCCTCTTGGATGGATTCCCATCTTTTTTTTAAGCGTTTCCATTGGATTCGATAAGAAATGGTATCAATCATGATCAACCCTTTTGAATATACCTTCCTAGGTGCAACTTCCCTCATGCTTATTCTGGTTCGGGGCATGAAGGCCCATTTACACGAAAAGGGCGAGGTGAAAGCAGTTTTTTCACTGACTTGCCGACTGTTGGGATCCAAGACTTTGCGTGGGGGGGCCAATGCTTTCCCATCTGGGGCCTCGGCCAAGAGGATCCACATCGATCCACGCGACGCCAGGACCTGGCCCAGTCCAGTCTGAAGAGCCACAGGACGCTGGCGTGCGGATTCATCATTGATTTTTGTTTCTAATTGCTTCTTGTTACTACTAGTAAGGCACTTGTTACTAGAAGCGATGCACTTGTTCCTAGTAGCTTCTTAACAATGATTCATGGATGTTCATGATGGATGTTGGCTCAGGCTCAGTCAAGAAATTGTCTTTGTAAATTATTCATAAGGAAAAACGTATAATAAGTACTAAGTTTTTTTTTTTTTTTTTAATTATTTTTATTATTATATATAGTTATTATAGATTCCACTAGACAACATCCCGGCGACAGTTCCGGATGTATGTGTTAGACGAACATTGTTACTACTAGTAAGGCACTTGTTACTAGAAGCGATGCACTTGTTCCTAGTAGCTTATTGTTTCTACTAGCGAACATTGTTACTACTAGTAAGGCACTTGTTACTAGAAGCGCTGCACTTGTTCCTAGTAGCTTATTGTTTCTACTAGCGAACATTGTTACTACTAGTAAGGCACTTGTTACTATATAGAGGCGATGCACTTGTTCCTAGTAGCTTATTGTTTCTACTAGCGAACATTGTTACAACTAGTAAGGCACCTGTTACTACTAGCGATGCACCGGTTACTAGAAGCTTATTGTTTCTACTAGCTTCTTGTTACTACTAGTAAGGCACTTGTTACTAGAAGCGATGCACTTGTTCCTAGTAGCTTCTTAACAATGACTCATGGATGTTCATGATGGATGTTGGCTTAGGCTCAGTCAAGAAATTGTTTTTGTAAATTATTCATAAGGAAAAACAAATAATAAGTTCTAAGTATATATTTTATTATTATAGATTCCACTAGACAACATCCCGGCGACAGTTCCGGATGTATGTGTTAGACGATTAGATTATCGTAGCATTGGCAGCTTTCTCCATCTGGCCTTTCAAGACAGGAGCCTGCAGCGGTCAAGGCCTTGCCGGTTGGAACCTCAGACTCTCCGTAAGTGGCGCCTGTGGGTGAGTTGTTGATTGTCGAGGTGGGTGAGCAGAGCAAACATTTTTAGGCCCTCAAAATAGAGGCCCGCATCTTGATTACAGGTCGGAGGCACCATGTCCTGTGTCACATTTTTTTCAGGGTGCACGATTGTATTGAAGCCGCCGCCCTTGCACATAAGCTTGCACGCACATGCTGTTGTATTATTTCCTCTCTGCCACAAACAAGTCACAAGGCTAAAATCAATGTGCACGTTTTCCAGCGTGACATTTCTAGACACTGCGTTGCCCAAGTTAGCTTTACGGTGTTGCATTTACTGCAAATCGTTGGACAGAGTGTTTTGTCTGTCTGTATATGTGTGTGTACACCTTGGATTGGAGTCAACAAAATATTTTTCTACATGCCAACGAAAACTGTCTGGTGTAGGTCTGCGTGGTGTAGGTTGCATTTGACGTTTGGTAACTACGCTCTCCTTCTAGAGTCTCGGAGGCAGTTTTTCCAGGCTTGGTGAGGCTCGTGGTGCAGTAAAGGGTTGATGAGTTCTGCAGACTTGCGCTCGTCGGCAGACGATCTGTGTTGCATTTTGGACGGCCACACACGGTTCCATAGGTTCCATAGTTTTTGGGTCCCCCGGTTTACTCAGGCAGTTTTTCACTCAGGTATCCTCAGGGCATTTGGCGTCATTGGTACTTTCATTTACTTTCAATCTTGCGCGTGTGTGTTTGGAGGCTTAAGTTTCTAGGCATGTGCAGGAAGTGGTTGTTCTTCAGCGCGTCCAACTTGACAGAACATAGGCGCATCATCCTCGTTCTCGCCAACCAAGTCGCTGGAATGTTCCTGAGATATATGATATTTATACGTTACATATATATATATATAATTCTAAAACAATGGTGGTAACAGAGCCCTTACCCGCGGGGTCATGTACAACCCCCTGCTCCACCCGACACGTCGGAACCCTCGATTTCTCAAGGCGACCCCACTGGCACCACGGCAACAAGTGGTGGTTGGTGAGGTGGCCGATGACAGTTCCACCCTGGGAGGGCTGGTTGATAGAGACCACAGCAGACCTGAAATTACTGTCCCTGACGCAGGATTTGCATGATTTAGTAATAGTTGATAGCAGTCAAACATATAAGGCAGCTTTCCACTTTGGCACTGATCAATGTGCAGCAGGTGGGCCTTTGTCGATTGATTCTCCGGGTTGGGATCCTTCTTCCACGCCAATTGGTGGTAGGAATCTGAACCTTTACAGTTGACCACCAAATGATCTTGGGTGTGTACGGGTTCACCCCTTATCACTGCAGCAGATACATTTTAGTGTGACAATGGCACGCCAGGAAGAGGCTTTTGCTGGATCCATTTTGGCAGCCGCCACCTGCATGGTGCATGGCCCAGAGAAATGCCTTGAGCGTGGAAATCCTGCTACTAACACCAGAGGTGCTTGGTCAAGGTTATTTTAGATGACTCTGGCTGGGCTGAGTTTTGAAGGTGTTTTACAGTATGTTTTAGTATATCATCCGGAGAAACCAATGTCTTGATTGTGACCAAGCCTAAGACCTTTCAGTTGAAAAACTGCGGGGGCTCTGACAACAGAAAGGCACGTTTCCCAACATGGATGAGATACGTGATATTAGAGGTTAAAGTGGTCAACGTAGACAACCATGGTGCTAGTTTTCTGTCCGTGGAAATGTAGCATTGGTCCGTTTGGTTTGGCGGTTCCAATCTCGCCGGGTGCGACAACCCCCAAAGGCCCAACCTTGGGGCTGCCAACCAACCAACCCACTCAGCCTGTAGCCAAACAACACAATAAAAACTAAGACTGACCGAAGCAATCCAGGACACTATATAACTATCTTCTCTTTTGGACACAAAACAGAGAACATCATCTTGAACCTTTGGGTTCGGGCACACTGACCCAGGCCCCAGGTGGCCACAGACACCTGTGGTGTTGATGTGGACACTGAGGCTGGAAGCACCCACAAGTGGCGAGCCATCGCAGGGGAGAACTGCCAACTGCTGGTGCGCTTCGTTGGGGTCGAAACGGCTCAGCCGTGGGTGGACAGTTCTTCCGATCAGTGGAGAACCTGGTGGTGAAACGGTGACTCGGTACACCTGGGAATACCCCAAACGTCGAACATGCGCATGAAAGTGGCTACATGTTTCACCTCAAGATACCTCAAGTTTTTGTTTTATTGCGCTTCTGAGTTTCTTCTTTTAAGAGTTGTGACTCTGTGGTGGGTTGTGACAAGCTCTACCGCGACTCTTCGCAATGAGGCGATTCAAGCATGTGCTGTCTAGAGACCCACTTGTATGCAGCTGGCATTAGTCGCTCATGGAACAAACCCGGCACCCGGTTAAAACCAACTAAGCGAAGCTGTCGAATTCACAGCTGCTCAAACTTGTTGGATAGTGACGAGCGGGCTGAGACTTGCAAATGTCATGGATTCCGTAGATGTCTGAAGTCAATTACAAGAGTGGATCATGGGCCACTAAATGTTAATGTTTTGGGTCTGTCCTATTACCTGTAACAGTCAGTAAACAATTATCGCTACTTCTTGAGAAAGGCCTCTACTAACCATCATCATCCACTGCTACAGGTATTAGGATAGACCCAATGTCACAATGTTAATCTTACTATTTCAGTTGACCCTTTTGAACTTCATCAAGGTGGTTAGCTTCGGTTCCCATTTGGAGCGACATCCATGTTTTTTCATCCTCATCCTCAGACAACTTGCTGTACGGTTCTTCATATTCATGGGTGTTTGAATAGATGCAGGGTTCATTCCTCCCTGGCTGCAATAAATTATCAGCAGTCCACAGGGTGCAGTAACCTTTACGATTCTGTCACGTCCACTCCCAAAATACAACCCTTCAACTCTCAACACAGCAGATCGCATTGGGGCATATTTTGGACGTGACTGGAGGCATTTTAGTCATATGAGTCATAAATGCAAGCGAGCCATTGGTTCTTTGGCTCGGTTCAGTGCACAGCCTTACACACATATTCTACCATATTCTGTATGAAATCGTACGCATATATATATATATGTACTGTATATATATATATATATACGTATTACTCAGACACACACACAAACACAACAAGGTGTGTCCAGGAATCTGCACAGGTTTCACATTATCATAAGTTTCCATCCTGATCGCTAGTCTCGGGTTCTCGAGAATCTCCGAGCGCAACAAGCATGCCACACTCCAGAGAAGAAACATAGAACCTGTCAGGACGGTCCCTTTGTCAATGAGATGGGCACTAAGTTCAGCGAGTGGTCAATCCTTTGCCAGACATTCTTCCCCTTGTTGGCCGAATCCCTAATACCACTCAGTTGTATTATATACATGAGTCCTCAATTCCTCAGTCATTTTGGGATGCCGCCGCTTTGGGGACCAAACAATCTACTGAGCCGCCGCCGCCTCTGGGTGAAGCCAGCTGCCTGGCTTCCTCGCTTCCGGTTTCTTCCTCTCGATCGTCGGCGAGTGCTGCACGCGGTCAGGTGATGAACAGCAAGTGCTTGGGGTCACTCGGCCAGGGGCGAGGCTCGCAACAAGATCGAAGCAAACACCCAGGGAACAATGATATACTCATTTTGATCATCCCTCTATCATCCTCATTTTTTGAGGACGTTTGTAATTATGGAAATTGGTTTCGTTGATAATTGTGTAGGGAATACGCAGTTCAGGTTCAGAAAGCCAGCACAAGCTACAGGCTGATGATTGTTTGTGCTGGAAGATTACTAGTGCTTCGATTATCTCTGACTGATATATTGATACTATATATATGTACAAAGAAGAACCGCCACCGAGCCCTACAAGCTCTATATGTGCTTTAAGAATCCGGAATCCAGTTGAGCTTCATTGTTTACCTGTTATGTTATGCAATATGCAGTTTGGTTTACAACTTACACCTATATAATTTGTCACAGTGAGCAGGGAAGTACCACATATGGCTCATATCACATTATCATGTCCACTACCAAGTTCAGCAAATCTTCTTTTCCATTCATTTCCCATCACTTCATGTCAACGTCTGAAGAATTTGCGAATTGGCTTTGAGAATCACAGTGGACCAGGGTTTTAGTCTGCTCCTCCTCCAGAACCTAATTGAGTACCAATGTCCAGTTGTTGAACTCAGAGATCCAGGTTGCTTGTGGCATGACTTTGCCACACGAGATGGGACCTACATGGCCAGTGATGACACTGAAGAAGCGTCCGAGGCGCGCCATCAAGAAGGAGCTGAAGCGCCGTCACACCGAGCGGGAGAAACACTTGCTCAACGCCCTGGGAGGCCAGCTTCACCATGGCAAGTCATGCACAGATGCTGGTGAACCATGCCATTTTTTCTATGAGGCATGTTTTAAGGTCCCCGCCAGGATGATGAATTGGATGTGTGTGTGATTCTACATGCTCAACAGGTAGGTAGCATCATTAAATTAGAATGCAAGGTCGGTCAGCAATAGATGCCCTGAACAAGCAGGGCTTGAGGTTTAGTGGGTTCAATCGTGAAACCCCTAATTGATGAAATGTGACTTGTTGAGCGACCATTCAAATACGTTGAAAACGGATACTCCTACTGCTATTTATCCCTAGTTCAGGACTTCAGAACTGACCTGTGGGAGTTCCTTGATTCACAGACGTTTGGTTCGCCAGTAGACAGTGCTGAGACGCTTTTTCCATCTTCTTCCGAAAGCTGTGGCGTGGATCCTTTAACTGCAGACTATTGGGACAGGAAATTGGGACTGGAGTGTTGACCCACGGCATCTTGCATGCCTGTACCCTTCTTGCAGGATTTGGAAGACAACGCTATGAACTTGTGGACATGTGTGTGTTCATGGTGGCTGATACGTGGATTGCTCTGACACTATCCCAGGACCCATCAAGGGCCTCGAGAACGAAAAGCTCCTCGGTATGCCGCAGCGAACTCCCAAGTCCCTCTAGAAGGGTCACATTTCCTATATTTGTTGTTTTGTATTGTTATATGTCTGGGGTCGTTTGTGGAGGGTGTCACTGTTTCACCCAAAATCCAGAACAAACACCAGGAACAATCTCTGGTCCCCTTCTGTTCATTTTTTTGACATTTGTACCATGGTGTGTTTGGGGTTTGTCTTTCGTAAGGTCAGATGGCGTACGTACTCCTTCAGGAACGGTATGTTGTCCATCATACTAGACTACCCTAGTGTGAAGACCTTTTGGACATGCAGTGGACCCTGTGACCGCAAAGCAGCCTCTGAGACGTGTGGTGGGAGCTGTTAGTGCTAGCCTTGGTGCGGTGTACAAAGTGTCACACAAGGATTTCCTTAAAAACTACAAAGATACACACAATGTGTCCACAAACGTTTGATTGACTCTTGCTTTCTTTTGTACTCGAGGTTCTCAGCCGTCGTGCCGGTATCTGAGGCTGCATGCCTTGGCTGTGGGTGCAAAGACCGTCCTTTACAGGCGGACCGGCCTCGTGACGGAGCATGACCTCAGTGTGACGGGTGGAAAAAGTGTGGAAAGGAACAGTATGGCAATCTTTTCACAGCAAGAGGCCTCGTTCTCTAATGGTAGTAGTAGTAGTAGTAGTAGTAGTAGTAGTAGTACTAGTAGTAGTAGTAGTAGTAGTAGTAGTAGTAGTAGTAGTAGTAGTA